TGGGGCGGGGCCGCGTCCTGGGGCGGGGCCGCGGGGAGCCTCTCTTCCCGGCTCTCTGCCCCTCCTGGGGTCCCTGGACGGCTCTCGGAGGTCCAGCCAGTGGTCTGTGAGATGCTCTCGGACCCCCTCCTGGCCTTCCTGCGGCCCGTCCGCACTGCTAGGGACTCTCTGAGGCCGGCCGCCTCCCTGCCCGGAATGTCTCTGATCTCCAGCCCCCGACAGGCGGAGTCTTCGAGCCTCTCTTCTCTTCCGTTTGTTTCAAACTTGGTGACTACGGAACACGGCCCCGCGGCCCCCGCAGTCCACGCCCCGCGTGGGTCGGACTCCACAGAGCGCCCGGGGCCACGGGGGATCTCGCTCTCCTTGCTGGCGGGCTTCCCTTCTGGGACGTCCCCGTGCCGGGACCTCCGCGAGACGCACGTGGCCGGCCCTGCGGCGGGCATCGGCGAGCCGCAGTCCCCAGGACAAACCTGGCCTCTCCAGTTTGGCCAGACCGCTTCCTTGGGAAGCCCCCACGCCCGTCTTTTGCCCACTGTCTGGGCCGCTTCTGTGCTCCGAGGCCAGGGTGCAGTTGTGCAGAGGCCGTGGGACCGGCACGGCTGGGTGTTGTCCCCAGGCCCTGGGCAGGAGGTGTCCACAGAGTCCTATCTGCCTCGCCTCGTGTATGTGCGTGGTGGAATTTGCATAACGGAAGACTTGTCGGTAGCCATTTGGTGGACAGGTGGCAAGTAGGTCCAGCACAGCTAAGCGCTCATTCGGTGGCATTGAGCACATTCAGTGCTGTGTGGCCATCGCCGCCGTCCTCTCCAGAACTTTCTCCTCTACTCCCTGTCCCCTCCCCGGCCCCCCGTGCTGCTTTCTGTCTCTGTGGATCTGACAACTGTGGGGATTTTCCAGGAGTGGAACCATGTGGTGTTTGTCCTTTTGTGTCTGGCCTGTTTCACGCAGTAACATGTCTTCAGTTCATCCATGTCGATGTGTCAGAGTTTTCTTTTCACGGCCGAGTCATATTCCGTCATATGTGTTGTATGTTACCGGGTATAGACCTGGATATCTGAGCAGTAGTGGCCCAGGCACAGGTACAGCACTTGCAAAGGCCCCAGGGCAGGGCCATCTGTGGCCCAGCAAGGAGGCCAGGGGGCTGGAGGGCGGAGAGAGGGGTGGTCGAGGCTGTGGAAGCCTCCTGGGTCTGGGCCCCAGGGCAGGCCAGGGTGTGGATTGAAGTCGGTATTCTGTGAGGGGTTGCCCCATGCCCGTCTGGGAGTGATGTACTTGGACTGTGATATACTTGGGCTTGATGCCCTGGCCATCGAGCGGCGCATGGACTGAGGCATAGATTGAGCGGGGCAGGAGGTGGCGGCATTGGTCACTTGGGGACAAGGTCCCGGCGCCTTTGCCTGGCTCCTGACCGTGTTGACCAGGAACCCTCAGAGGCTTGGATCACCTCCTCCAGGGACTGACCTGCCCGTCACTTGGACGTTCTCGGTGCTATTCCACTCCCATGGGCGAGAGGGTGACTCTGCATCCAAGGCCTGACCGGCAAGCTTTGCCTCTGCCAGTGGGCCACTGACCATGTGAGCCTGTGTAGAGTCTCCAGAACAGGGCGGCTACAGGTATGTGTCAACATACCCAGCTAATTTTCATTTTTGTTGAGACAAGGTCTTGCTGTGTTGCCCAGACTGGTCTCAAACTCCTGGGCTCAAGCATCCTCCCACCTCAGCCTTCCAAAGTGCTGGGGTGGCCGGTATGAGCCCGTCAAGTTCACTCCTTTTGATAGCTGGCTTGTAGTCTGTGCTGTGGGTGGACCACAGTTTAGCCTTCCACATGCCGGAGGACTTCTAGATTGCTTCCAGTTTTTGGCCACTGAGGACTTATCTAGCTAAGTTCCTAAGACATCACATGTAGTTTCATTATTTTGTGTGACCTTTGCTGGTTTGGTCAATACTGGCCTCATAACGAGAGTTGGGAAGTGCTCGTTCCTTTTCTGATTTCTGGAAGACAGTGTGTAAAATTGGTGTTAATTTTCCTCTAAATGATTGATAGAATTCTCCAGTCACACCACCTAGAGCTGGAGATTGCTTTAGGGCGAGCTTTTTTTTTTTTTTTTTTTTTGAGTTGGAGTCTCATTCTGTCACCCAGACTAGAGTACAGTGGCACGCTCCCAGCCACCATAGCCTTGACCTGCTGGGCTCTGGCGATCCCTCCGCCTCAGCCTTCCAAGTAGCCGGGACTACAGGTGCGGGCTACCACGCCCAGCTAACTTTTTATTTATTGTAGAGATGGGGTCTCTCCAAGTTGTCCGGGTGGGTCTCAAACCTGTGGGCTCCAGCAATCCACTCGCCTCGGCCTCCCAAAGTGCTCGGATGACAGGCTGAGCCACCGAGCCCAGCCTAGGGCAAGTTTTTATGACTTTAATTTCTTTGATAATTATAGGACTACCTAGGCTATCTATTTTGTCATGGGTAAGTTTAGATAGCTTGTGATTTTCGAGAAATTAACCCATTTCTATGAGTATAGAAATGTGTGTAACCTTCCCTTTTTCTTTTAATGCCCAGAAGATCTGTAGTGATGGCCCTGTTTTATTCGTTATGGGTGATTTGTCTTTATTTTTGTCAGTCGTGCTAGAGACTTGTCAGTTTTGTTGGTTATTTTTAAGCAACCAGCTTTTTGGTTTATTTGTTTTTCTCTTTGTTCTTGTTTTTAAGTGTTTGGTTTCATTGATTTCTGCTCTCATCTTAATTTCCTTCCTTCTGCTTGCTTTGGGTGGATTTTGCTCTTTTTCTAGGTTTCAAGATAAGAGCTTAGACTGTGGGTTTGTGACATCTCTTCTGGCATAATTTTCTGCTATCATTTTCCCTCTCGGTACTGCTTGACCTCCTTCCCACATATTGTGCTATGTTTTTTTCCCTTGAGAATTTCTCTTTGCCTCATGCTTACTCAGAAGTGTTGTTTAATTTCCAGGTGCCTAAGAGGTATTCCCATTGTCTTTTTGCTACTGTTTTTTTGGGGGGGTTTTTTGGTTTGTTTGTTTTTTGGAGGTTTTTTTGAGTCAGTCTCACTCTGCCACCCTGGCTGGAGTGCAGTGGCATGATCAGTCATTGCAGCCTCAATCCTGGGCCCAAATAATTTTCCTGTGTTAGCCTTCTTAGTAACTGGGACCACAGACACACTCCACCACACCCAGCCACTTTTTAAGAAGTTTTTTGTTGGCTGGGATCAGTGGCTCAGCCTGTCATCCCAGTACTTTGGGAGGCTGAGGCGAGTGGATTGCCTGAGCCCATGGGTTCAAGACCCGCCCGGGCAACTTGGTGAGACCTTGTCTCTACAATAATGAAAAATTAGCTGGGCGTGTAGCGCGCACCTGTAGTTCCGACTATTTGGAAGGCTGAGGTGGAAGAATCCGCCGGATCCCAGCAGATTGATGCTGGAGTGACCGAGAGCATGCCACTGCATTCCAGCCTGGGTGACGGAGTTAGACTCTGAATCAAAAAAAAAAAAAAAAAAGTTTTTTTATTGACATAGGTTCTTGCTATGTTGCCCAGGCTAGCCTCAAACTTCTGACCCAAAATTCTGGCCTCCAATGATCCTCCCTCCTCAGCCTCTCAAACTACTGGGATTATTGGTATAAGCCACTGCATCTGGGTCTGTCTAGCAGTTCTGTACTTGCTATGGGGTGGTTGAAATCGCCGTTGGTATTTGTGGATTTTTCTGTTTCTCCTTTCTGCTTCATATATTTTGAGGCTTTGTCGTTTGGTGTGTGCACATTCATGATTGTTATGTCTTCTGGTCAGCTGACCCTTTTATCATTAGGTAACATCCCCATTTGTCTTTAGTAATTTTATTTCCTCTGAAGCTCACTTTACCTGAAGGCTGTGTGTGTGTGTGTGTGTGTGTGTGTGTGTGTGTACACTCCTGCTTTTTTTTTTTAAGCTAACGTTTGCATGGCTTACCTTGTTGTATGTTGAATTTGAAGTGAGTTTCTTGTAGCTTATAATTGGGTCATATTTTTTATCCACTCTTCCGATCTTTGCCTTTTAATTGGTACATTTAGACCATTTATGTTTAATTATCGATAGAGTAGGGCTTAAGTCTGCCATTTTATTCTTATTTCTTCTTTCTGTTTTTCTTCTTGCCTTGCTATGAGTTAAATGTTTTAGAATCTGGGTTTCTCTACCCATTGTCTCTTGAGCGTGCCACCTTGTGACGTGTTCCTCGTGGTTTCTCTGAACCTTGGCGTGTGTAAACGGTGGCATTCGGTGTCGGGTTCCCACTCGGAGTGACGGTGGGGAGACCTTCCTCCCTTGGGGTCTGTTTCTCTGCTCCCTCCTCGCTGTCTTGAGCATCTAAGGGTGTGGCACGCTTTATTTCAGTCACGTGACTTAGAAGATTCTTGGAGGACTCATCAGGAGGCCCATCCGTCGCAGGGACCCGTGTTTCTGCTCTGCCCGTTGCTTCTACGTCCTTCTGCTCCCAGGTTACTTCGTTTATAATTTCCTGTCTATTCAAGAACTTCCTCTAGGTGTTCTTTAAGGGCAGGTCTGCTAGCAACGCATTTCTGTGGTTTTTCTTCATCTGAGAGTTTCTTCTCCCCCTTCATCTCTGAAGGATAGTTTTGCCAGATATAGAATTAAATCTTTCCCCTTAACTTTTGTTTTTATTTTATTTATGTTTGCTTATTTATTTATTAAGTTGGAGTCTCACTCTGTCGCCCAAGCTGGAGTGCAGTGGCACGCTTTCGGCCACCCCAGCATCAACCTGCTAGGCTCCGGCGATCCTTCGCCTTAGCCTTCTGAGTAGCAGGAACTACAGGTGCATGCTACCATGCCTGGCTAATTTTTTGATTGACTGTAGAGACGAGGTCGTGGCAAGTTGTTCGGGTTGGTCTCGAACCTGCAGTCTCAAGCAATCCACTCGCCTCAGCCTCCCAAAGGACTGGGATTACAGGCTGAGCCACCAAGCCTGGCCTGAATATATTTCTTTAAAAGGATTCTTTTTTTCGAGGAATATAGTTATCATGTTACTATCACAACCTAAAAATTAACCAGCGTTTTCTTTTTTTTTTTTTGAGTTGGAGTCTCACTCCATCGCCTAGGCTGGAGTGCAGTGGCATGCTCACGGCCAACCCAGGCTGGGCTCCAACGATCCTTCCGCCTCAGCCTTCCAAGTGACTGGAACTACAGGCGCGTGCTGCCACATCCATCTAATTTTTTATTTATGGTAGAGACAAGGGCTCACCAAGTTGCCCGGGCTGGTCTCAAACCCACGGGCTCGAGTAATCCACTTGCCTCGGCCTCCCAAAGTGCTGGGGTAATAGGCTGAGCCACTGATCCCAACTAGTCAGTATTTTCTCAACAGTTCCAGTCATTGTTCAGTCTTCCAACTATCTAATTTTTGTCTTGTTTCATGTGTTTTGTAGAGGCATGGTCTCTGTCACCCAGGCTGGATGCAGTCGTGTGGTCACGACTCACTGCAGCCTTGACCTCCTGGGCTTAAGTTAGCCTCCTGCCTCAGCCTCCCGAATAACTGGGACTACAGGCACACACCACCACTCTTGGCTCTATTTTACTTTTTTCACCATTTGTCAGCTCAGGATTTATGTAAGGTCTGCGAGTTCAGTTTGTTGTTATAGACGTCTTTTAAATTTAAATTTTCCGTCCATTTATTTTTTTCCCCCTTCTCCTTAACAGTTGATTTGTTAAGGAAACCTGGTCATTTGTCCCATGGAATTTGCAGTCGGGATGTTGCTGCTTGCATCTACATGGTGTCACCTGTATGCTTGTGTCCCCTGTGGATAGATTTGCGCCCATACCACCCCACAGACATGAGCTGCCCACACTGCGCGGGCAATATGGCCAGGATGACTTGAAATGTGCCTTGCGTGTAACATACACAGAGGAATTGGAGACTTACTACAAATGGAGGATGTGAAATGGCTCGTTATTCATATTCCTTTTCTGTTGAAATAATCTTGTGTGTATGCTGGGTTACATAAACCATAGCCCAGTGACACCCACCTGTGTTTATTTCCCGAATGTGCTTATCAGAAGGTTAAGGATTTTACATGCCACACGTGTTTGTGACTTGGACTGGACTCTTCCCCTGGGTATCGCTGACCGCCTGCCGATGGATCCTGGGTCGTGGCACATTCTGTTTTTATGCTCGGGCGCACCAGTGGGTCGCCCTTGTCTTGATGCTTCCTGCTTGTTGGGTTTTGTGGATTTGGCCTCCTCACCCAGAGGCGCAGGCTCAGGGCCCCCGTGTGTCGTGGACCGGAGCTGGCTCACGGCTGGCTGCTGTGTCTGGTCTAGGGGGCTCGATGGGACAGGAACCCCCGAGGCCCCGATGACGCGGTTAGACCCAGCGTGGCCCGGGCGAGGGTGGGCTCAGGGCCGAGCCCCCGGGCGCCTGGCGGGTTGGGCAGCCAAGTTCAGCGCTCGCCTCCCCTTAGGGACGACTCTCTGGACGGCTGCCGGATCGTCTTCGTGGATGAAGTCTTCAAGATTGAGCGCCCGGGCGAGGGCAGCCCCATGGTGGACAACCCGCTGAGACGTGAGTGCGGGCGGGCGTCCTCCCCGGTGGGCTGGTGGGCGGGGCCCTTCCCGGCACTGGACACTGACCCCGCCCCATGTGCAGGCAAGAGCGGGCCCTCCTGCAAGCACTGCAGGGACGACGTGAGCAAGCCGTGCCGCGTGTGCGCCTGCCACCTGTGCGGGGGCCGGCAGGACCCCGACAAGCAGCTCATGTGCGACGAGTGCGACATGGCCTTCCACATCTACTGCCTGTGCCCGCCGCTCAGCAGCGTCCCCAGCGAGGACGAGTGGTGAGCGGGAGCTCCCGGTGGCGGCCGGAAGCCAACTCGGGCCCTTGGGCAGCCCCAGAGGGCAGTGGGAGGCTGGCGCCTGTCAGCCCAGAACTTTGGGAGGCCCCGGCGGGAGGCTCACTGGAGGCCAGGTGTTCTTGCACAGCCCGGGAAATGTAGCAAGACCTGTATCCACAAAAAAGACAAAACATTAGCCAGGGGTGGTGGTGGCCCTGTGGTCCCAGCTGCTCGGGAGGCCCTGGCGGGAGGATCGCCTGAGCCCAGGAGGTCGAGGCTGCGGTAGGGCATGACTGCACCACTGCTCTCCAGCCTGGGTCACAGAGCGGGACCATGTCTCTGAAAAGAAAGAAATGGATGAGGGAATCGTCCATGTGTGGGCCGAGGCTCAGGGGCGCCCGGAGCAGAGCTGGGGCCTCGCCCTGCAGACAGGCCTCAGCTGTGAGCTCAGCAGTTGGGGGACCACGGGCATGGGGAGGGCTGTGGGCTCTGTCCCAGGACCCCTGAGAGTCGGCGGGCCTCCTCCCAGCTCCCAGGGGTGTGGGTCTCACTGCCTCACCCCACAGAGGTGGGGAAACCATTGGACCCAGTGGGGAGGCCCGGGCTGGGGTGGCCAGGTCTTTCCACATCATAGAGTGTCACTGTCGCTGGGGGCAAGCCCTGGAGTTCCAAGCAGGACTAGAATGTCCCCTGATGATGGAATGTCTGAGCTCTGGGCCATCCTCGCTGTTGCCAGCCACATACCCCATTAGCTTGAGTTTAATGTAAATGGAAGGCCGGACCACCAGGAGGGTCACGCGTCCATGAGCGTGGGGGCCACATGCCCGAGCGCGTCTGCCTGCGCTGACAGGACGTGCTGCCGTCGCCAGGTACTGCCCCGAGTGCCGGAACGATGCCAGCGAGGTGGTCCTGGCGGGGGAGAAGCTGAAGGAGAGCAAAAAGAAGGCGAAGATGGCTTCCGCCACATCGTCCTCGCAGCGCGACTGGGGCAAGGTGAGGGGACCGCCTGCCCCTCCCGCCAGCCCCCTGCCCCTCTCGCCGATCCCCCACCCCTGCTGCCTGCCACTCCCCACCTCACACCGCTGTCCCTTTGCTCCCCTGGCCGCAGGGCATGGCGTGTGTGGGCCGCACCAAGGAGTGCACCATCGTCCCGTCCAACCACTACGGACCCATCCCGGGGATCCCCGTGGGCACCATGTGGCGGTTCCGAGTGCAGGTACCTGTGGCATCTCAGGGCTCTGGGGGCTTCCAGAAGCCCCTCTGTGGGGCTGCCCAGGCATGTCCTGCTTGTGTCCTGGGATTCCTCCCACGATGGTTTTCTGGGCCAAGGGGGCCAAGGGATCCCGATGGCAACCGGCTGGCCTGAAGGGCAGGGAGAGCCTGGAGGTTCTGGCCCGTTCCTGTTTTCAAGGCCCTGGGATCCCTTCTGAGGAGGGTGTAGGCGCCCATCTGCACAGAGGCTGCAAGGTCGTTCCCAGAAGCTGCGATTCCAGGGAACAGTAGGCGGAAATGGCCCTTGTTAGGTCTGTGACAATGACAGCCCTGCCTCTGAGCAGGTCCTGGCCATCTGGGTGCTGTCAGCTCCTGGGTCTGTGCCCAGGCAGATGAGACACTGAGGATATGGGGACCAGATTGTTCTCTGGGTGGGGCGTCCCAGGCGCTGCCAGGTGCCTGGTAGTGTCCCTGGCCTCCACCCACCCATGTCAGGAGCACCCCAGCCATGCCACCACAGATGTCCCCAGCCATGGCCTAGTGTCCCCTGGGGCAGGATCATCCCCAAGTGAGACCCAGCAAGCCGGGTGGACGGGCCAGTGCCCCTCGTGGAGTGACAGGGCCAGGCGTCAAGTGCTGGTGCTCTGAAGGCAGCATGGTGTCGGCTGGGCAGCCCAGGCCAGCAGTCAGTGCGGCCTTCGGAGGGTTTTGTGTCCAGTGAGTGACCGGGTGGGCCTCATCGGTCCAGCAAAGGGCAGCTTTTATGTCATGACCTCGTTTTAAGCTCAGTCCTGCCAGACACTTATCGCCCCTCTCTCCAGTTGCAAAACTGGAACATCCACGACCCGCAAGACCACGCCGTGAGCAGGATGGGGCTGTGGTTCAGCTGGCTCCTCTCGTGGCCTGGCTCTCGCTGTGCTGTCTCGGGGCTAAACGCTCCTAAGAGGCACAGGGCCCAGCGCTGGGTGTGAAGTGTGAAAGCTGCCCTCAGGGCTGGAGGGAGGGCGGTGAGGTGGGCTTCTGCGCAGCTGCCTTGGGAGGAGATGTTGATCCTCTGTGGTTTCCACAGGTCAGCGAGTCAGGTGTCCACCGGCCACACGTGGCAGGCATCCACGGCCGGAGCAACGATGGGGCCTACTCTCTGGTCCTGGCAGGGGGCTACGAGGATGATGTGGTAAGTAGGGGGTGGTTAGAGCTGTTTTTTTTTTTATGAGTCTGGATCTCATTCCGTAACCCAGGCTGGAGTGCAATGGCGTGATCACAGCTCACCACATGGGCCTGACGCTCTTGGGCTCAGGTGATCCTCCAGCCTCAGCCTCCTGAGTAGCTGGGACTATAGGTACGTACCACCACGCCCAGCTCTGTTTTTAATTTTTTGTGAAGATGTGGGTCTTGCTGTGCTGCCCAGGCTGGTCTGGAACTCCCGGGAGTTTCTGTGTGCCAGAAACTCAGGGCTTACGCAGTTCTCCCACCTTGGCTTCCCAAAGTGCTGGAATGACAGTCGTGAGCCACTGCACCTAGCCTTGTTTTATTTTTTGAAGTGGTGATAAAACATGCACAGCATTTGCCATCTTAACCATTTTAAGCGCACAGTTCAGGGGCATTAAACACACTCACGTGATCGTGTGACCATTACCACCATCATCTCCAGAACTTTCTCCTCTTCTGAAACTCTGTCCCATGAAATACTCCCTGTCCCCTCCCCAGCCCCTGGCACCCACCATGTGACTTTCTGTCTCTGTGGATCTGACGACTCTTAGGGCCCTACTGGGAGTGGGATCTCGCAGGGCTTGTCCTTCTGTGTCTGGGTCTCACTGCATGTGACACCCTCGAGCTCCAAGCATGCCGTGGCTCGTGTCAGAGCCTTCTTCCTTTTTATGGCTGCATCGTGTTTCACGTGTGGATGGGCCACACTGTGCAGATCCCTCACCTGTCCACGGATACTTGGGTCATGTCCACTTCTTGGCCATTGTCAGCAGTGCTGCCATGAGCGCAGTTGTGCAAGTGTCTCTTCAAGTCTCCTCTTTCAGTTCTTTTGATTCTATACCCAGAAGTGGAAATAGCGGGACCATGTGATGATGAATTCTGTTTAATTTCTTGAGGAAGTGTCACACGTCTCTAAGCAGCTGTGCACCGTTTTATGTTGTCACCCACACTTTACAAAGAACGCCAGTTTCTCCCTGCCCTCCCAAATAATTTGTATTTTCTGTTTTTTTGTTATTTTTTATTTTCTTTTATTTTTTTGAGTTGGAGTCTCACTTTGTTGCCCAGGCTGAAATGTAGTTGCATATTCATGGCCACCCCAGCGTTGACCTGCTGGGCTCCAGCGATCCTTCTACCTTAGCCTTCCAAGTAGCTGGAACTACAGGCGTGCGCTACCATGCCCAGCTAAGTTTTTGGTTTATAGTAGAGACGAGGTCTCACCAAGTTGCCTGGGCTGGTTTCTAGCCCACGGGCTCAGACAATCCACTTGCCTCGGCCTCCCAAAGTGCTGGCATTACAGGCTGAGCCACCGAGCCCAGCCTTATTTTTTATTTTTAAAATTTTTTTAAGTTGGGATTTCACTCTGTCACCCAGGCTGGAGTGCAGTGGCATGGTCACGACTCACTGCAGCCTCGACCTCTTGGGGTCAGATGATTCTTCTGCCTCAGCCTCCCGAGTAGCTGGGACTATAGGCACCACCATGCCTGGCTAATTTTTTGATGTTTTTGTAGAGACAAGGTCTTGCGATGTTACCCAGGCGGGTCTCGAACTCCTGGCCTCAAACAAGCGTCTCACCTCGGCCTCCCAAAGTGCTGGGATGACAGGCATGAGCCACCGCACCTGACTTCCTGTCTCTTTGATGGCAGCCATTTAGTAGGGCTTGTGCATTGGAGTCTCTCTGTCCTCTGTGTGGAGGGCTCACCCAGCCTTCTTATCTGTTTCAGGACCATGGGAATTTTTTCACATACACAGGTAGTGGTGGGCGAGATCTTTCCGGCAACAAGAGGACTGCGGAGCAGTCTTGTGATCAGAAGCTCACCAACACCAACAGGTGCGTAGGAAGTAGTTTTCTCCTTTCGTCGAATCACTTCTGCAGAGTCCTTGACTCCATCTGGGTCCTTGTGTCCAGCCATAGCCTCCTTAGGAAGGTGCTGGAGCAGAGAGGTGCAGACATTCAGTTCCCTTCTCTGTGCGCCAGAAACTCAGGAGTTATCCAGCCTCCAGATGGGCTAGAGCATGCTTAACTTTTCTTTTTCTTTCTTTTTTTTTTTTGAGTCGGAGTCTCACTCTGTCGCCCAGACTAGAGTGCAGTGGCATGCTCCCGGCCACCACAGCCTCGACCTGCTGGCTCCGGTGGTCCTTTCGCTTCAGCCTTCCAAGTAGCCGGAACTACAGGCGCACGCTACCATGCCCGGCTAATTTTTGATTTATTGTAGAGATGAGGTCTTGCCACGTTGCCCAGGTGGGTCTCGAACCTGCAGGCTCACGCAATCCACTTGTCTCAGCCTCCCAAAGTGCTGGGATGACAGGCTGAGCCACCGAGCCTGGCCGCACCTTGCTCATTTTAAAATTTCTTTTAGAAATGAGGTCTTGCCAAGTTGCGCAGGCTGGTCTCAAATCCCTGAACTCAGGCAGTCCTCTTGCCTCAGCCTCCCAAAGTTCTGAGATTACAGGTGTGAGCCACCACATCTGGGCAGTTAAAGCACACTTTTCTATAAAAGGCCAGATAATAAGTGTTTTTAGCTTTGTTGACCACAGTCTCTGTTGTAGCTATTCAGCTCTGGCATCAAAGCACTGAAACGGCCATAGACCATAAAGCCATAGTGACTGAATGCGCATAGCTGTGTTCCTGTAAAACTTTATTTACAAAACTAGGCAGTGGGCCAGCATTTGACCCCTGATTGCAGGATGGTATGGCTTTTCCAACACAAACAGCATCGTAATGCCCAAAGGAAAAGCTGGAAAGATTTGGTTATCTAAATGTTAGAAATACATTGTGTTGGTAAACCCTACAAATAAAATTAAAAAGCAGATTACTATTTAGGAGGAATGTTTTTAACACGACACATGATGGTCATGTCTTATATAAAGAGCTATTACAAGTTAATAAGAAAAATTCTAATAGAAAAAAGTAAAGGGAATGCAGATAACTTACAAAGAAATGCAGATGGCTAACAGCCACAATAAATTGCTCAACTTTGGTCATCAAATATGACTAGCAATGGTGAAATGCTATATATTTCCCTTTATTATTTGTTTATTTTTTGAGTCGGTTTCACTCTGTCATCCAGGCTGGAGTGCAGTGGCACACTCATGGCTACAGCCTCAACCTGCTGGGTTCAAGTGATCCTTCCACTTCAACCTTCCAAGTAGCCGGAACTGCAGGCATATGCCACTACGCCCAGCTAATTTACCATAGAGATGAGGGCTCGCCAAGTTGCCTAGGCTGGTCTCGAACCCCTGAACTCAGGCAATCCTCTTGACTCTGCCTTTCAAAGTGCTGGGATTACAGGCATGAACCACAGTGCCTGGCCTTACTTGTTTCCCTTTCAAATTGGCCCAAAATTCTAAATGTTAAGAAATCCCAGGGAATAGACAGCCTAGCATTTCACTGTTGGTCGAAATGCAAATTGGAACCATCTTTCTGGAAAGCTCTTTTGCCTGTATGTATGAAGAGCCTTAAAAATGTTTATCTTGGCTGGACATGGTGACTCAAGCCTGTAATCCCAGCACTTTGGGAGGCCGAGGTGAGAGGATTTCCTGAGCCAGGGTTTCAAAACCAGTCTGGGCAACTTGGTGAGACCTTGTCTCTATAATATATCAAAAAATTAGGTGTGGTGGCACGTTCCTGTAGTTCTGGCTACTTGAAAGGCTGAGGTAGAAGGATCGCCTGAGCTGAGCAAGCCGACGCTGGGATGGCCGTGAGCGTGCCACTGCACTCCAGCCTGGGTGATAGAGTGAGACTCTGACTCAAAAAAAAAAGGGTCACTTTGAAAATGTGCTTAGGAGATGTGGGTATGTGGAAATTTAATGTGTTATAATGTTTATCATGCCATTACCTAAAATAGCAAAAAAAAAAAGGAATCAGGATCTTGTGTCTTTTTTGAAAAAAATTAGAAAGGCCAGGCACTGTGGTGCACTCCTGTCAACCCAGCTACTCAGGAGGCAGAGGTGGGAGGATCGCTTGTACCAAGGAGTTTGAAGCTGCAGTGAGCTATGATCGTACCACTGCACTCCAGCCTGGGTGATAGAGTGAGCCTCCGTCTCTGTAAAAATTACGAATAAAAAAATTAGCCGGATGTGGCGGCAGACTCCTATAATCCTAGCTACTCGAGAGGCTGAGCCGGGAGGATCACTTGAGCCCAGAAGTTCGAGGCTGCAATGAGCTGTGATCGCACCATGACACTCCAGCCTGGGCGACAGAGCGAGACCCTGTCAATAGACAGACAGCAGGGTTAATTGTACACTTATTTGTCTAGTGAAATATAATTTCAGCAGTTGTTAAAAGTCATGTTTTGAGAAAATATTTAGTGTTACAGGGAACTGCTCATTTGTCACGTTGTGTGACAAAATCTGGACACACACTCTGTGGAATTCCAACTTTAAAGAATGCTGACTGCCCATAGACAACAGCGGCATTGTTACTGTTCTCTCACAAACCCCTGACAAGTGGCGTTGTTGTACTGGGGTGGTGAGTCCGGCTTCCAGTCTGGCTGGGCCACCCTGGAGAGGCCTCCACTGGGACAGACCTTCTGCCGCTCGTGTCCTGTGTCTGTGACCTTCTTGTTTTATTGATGACACCTTCCCACATGGCATGTTAGTTTCTGGGGCTTCAGAAACAAAATACCACGAATGGGGTGGGTTAGACAGACGTTGAAGACATTGATCATCTGGGTTCTGGAGGGCAGAGGTCTGAGACCAAGGTGTGGGTGGGGCCGTGCTCCTGTTCCAGGGAGGGACAGAAGCCTGCCTCTTCGGCTTCTGATGGAAGCCAGTGAGCCTCCGTGTTCCTGGCTCATAATGCGTCACTCCTTCTCTGCCTCTGCCCTCACGGCCTCCTTCCTTTTCTGCCGATGTGTCTGTGTTCTCTTGTTTTACTTATTTTAGACAGGCAGGGTCTCTCTCTGTTGCCCAGGCTGGAGAGCAGTGATCATAGCTCACGACAGACTCAACCTTTGGGCTCAGACGGTCTTCCCACCTCAGTCTCCCAACTAGTTGGGACTATAGGCACATGCCACCCTGCCCAGATAATTTATGAATTTTTTTGTAGAGATAAGGTCTCACTGTCACCCAGGCTATGTGATCATAGCTGACTGCAGCCTCAAACTCCTGGGCTCAAGTGGTCCTCCCGTCTTGGCCTCCCAAAGTGCTGGGATTACTGGTGTGAGCCACTGCGCCCAACCTGTGTTCTCTCTGAGGGCACCGGTTACTGGATTAGGGCCCCCTGAATCCAGTCTGACCTCACTGGGACTTGATGACATCTACCAAGACCCTGGTTCCAAAGGCCATGTCCCCAGCTGTCGGGTTGGAGCTTGAGCTGTGGTGTTGGGCGCACACCCACCTGAGATATGTCCCTGCAGGGCACTGGCTCTCAACTGCTTCGCCCCCATCAATGACCAGGAGGGGGCCGAGGCCAAGGACTGGAGGTCAGGGAAGCCAGTCAGGGTGGTTCGCAACGTCAAGGGCGGCAAGCACAGCAAGTATGCGCCTGCAGAAGGCAACCGCTACGACGGCATCTACAAGGTGAGTTGCTGGTGCCTCCTCGCCCCCCTCCCACAGACCCTCTGCCCCCTGCCCCTCCCCATGGCGCTTCTGCCAACCCCCCCCTGGTCTCTCTGCCCTCCTTCCCGTCCCTCGGCCTCATCGCCCCCCACAGGCCCTCTGCTGGGCCCCGCCCTCGGGGTGTCCGTGACTGGGACTCCCGCTCCCCAGGTGGTGAAGTACTGGCCCGAGAAGGGCAAGTCCGGCTTCCTCGTGTGGCGCTATCTGCTGCGGCGGGACGACGAGGAGCCCGGCCCCTGGACCAAGGAGGGCAAGGACCGGATCAAGAGACTGGGGCTGACCATGCAGGTGCGTCCAGCGGGCCTGCAGGGACAGGGGCGTGGCCAGGTTCGGCTCCCAGGGCTGCTGCGGCCTCTCACGCCCAGGTAGCCTGGGCACCGGGGTCCTGCCATGAGCCTGTCTTTCCTGAAGGCCACCACAGTCACAGCAGGGCTCATCCAGGCATGCTGAGCATGAGACTCCCAGGGGCGTGGGCGGACGGGGCATCCTCTCTGTCAGGCCTGAGCCTCCCTGGTTCCTCATCCTGTGCAGTTTCTGGACACCTGGCTGGCCGCACCTCACTGGCCGTCAATAGCAGCACTTCAGCCGGGCCATGTCGGCCGGGCAGGGGACCTGTGCGTCTCTGTCCATTGTCCTCTTAGAGCTTCATGAAAGCCAGACTTGTGTATCCTGGTCGTGTCAGGAGAGGAGTTGCCACAAACCGGCCCAGCATGTGGTCTTTTCTATTTGCTTTTCTTCTTAATTCTGCTCATCCAGAAAAAAAAAGCAGAAACAAACTCACCAAACTGGTAGAATCCTGAGAGGTGTGGATGGGACGGTGAGGAACAGCCCCACTGAGTGATTGTTCATCTCGGTGGTGGCAGAATCTTCTGGAGTGCATCGGGGTGGAATACAGCTTTCTTGCATATAATTATGGTGTTTTCTGCTCTTTGTGGGGAGTTGGTTTATAGAAGATGAATCTTATAGCGAATAAATCGTGGTGGGACTATTTAAGGAGTACTAATTGCTGTTGTGTATCTGATCACGCCTGCCCCTGGAGGGCCACAGAAGGCGTCTTTTGAGTGGGTTTGTGCAGTGGGGAGTTTCAGAAGCCGAGGATCTGAGAAGAAAAAGGGGTTCAGGAGGGAGCAAGTAGATCCGCTTCTGGTAGGAGGAAGGTTTTTTTTTCTGAGATGAGGTCTTGCTGTGTTGCCCAGGCTGGAGTACCATGGTGCGATTATCGCTTATCACAGCCCGGACCTCCTGGGCTCAGCCTCCCACCTCAGTCTCCCCAGTAGCTGGGACTACAGGCACCATGATGCCCAGCTGACTTTTGTTTTTGTAGAGATGAAGTCTTGCATGTTGCTCAGGCTGGTCTTGAACTCCTGGGCTCAGGGAACCCTCCTGCTTTGGCCTCCCAGTGTTGGGATGACAGGCATGAGCCACCGTGCCCAGCCTGGGAGGATGATTTTTATCTACGACTTTGTTCTTACTTGGAATTGGAAGTTACTAAAGAAAGTTGCAGGTATCCTGATGAGACACAAGAGAGGAAGACGTGACCTCGGGTGCTTCAGAAACAGGGCGATTATCCAGTGATTACGGGGGCAGGGAAGAGCCCAGGATTCCTCACTAAGAGTTTCGGTGAAGGGGGGCAGGAATGGCAGTTGAGGAAAACTGCCAGGGAAGGGAGGGGCACACCTCATCAACAAGGGTACTTGCATAACGAACATTTGTACGCCTAACCCTGAGTTGTAACCCCCACCTTTAAAATTAAAAAATGAATTTGGTGAACCAGGGCCCTCGGGCCATTTGGAAGTTCACACCCATCTGAGTATTTTTTGATGGCTTTCCCATTACAACCAAGTGGTCAAGTTTCACAGGTGTGAAGATTTTTATTGACTGGGCCCTTGGAGTCTCTTGTAAATCCTAAAGGTTAGATCTTAGCCAGACGTGTGGCTCATGTCTGCAATCCAAGCACTTTCCGAGGCTGAGGTGAGAGGATTGCCTGAGCCCGGGGTTCGAGACCAGCCTGGGCAACATACTGAGACCTTAGCCCTACCAAAAAAGGGGTGGTACAGGCCTGTAGTCCTAGCTACTTGGGAGGCTGAGGCGGAAGGATCGCCTGAGCCCAGGAGATCGAGGCTGTGGTGAGCTGTGATCATGCCACTGTACTCCAGCCTGGGTGACAGAGTGAGACCCTGACTCAAATAAAATAAAGCTCAGATCTTGTTTGTTCGAGGTGACACGGAGCGCTTCACCCACACGAGCTTACCCCATGCTCACCTGGCCCTGCAGGTGGAGGCTGGCGCCCTCATCCTTCTTCACAGAGGGCGGTGTGACAGGATAGAGACTGCTTGGGCTTCACAGCTGGGGAGGTGCCTGGCCCACCGGCGTCCCCTAGTCTGTGGGACACGGTGGGTAGGTCTGCCCAGATGTGCACGGTGGCTTTTCCCGTACACGCCTGTGACGACGTCTCATTCATACGCTGGGTGTGACAAGAGGCTGGCAGCTTCTCTGGGCGTCCTTGAAGGGCTTGCACGTTTCCTCTTGTGTTTCGGGGTGGCGGGTAGTGGGTGGGTGGCCACTCCACGGCCTGTCCTCCTCCCACAGTATCCGGAAGGCTACTTGGAAGCCCTGGCCAACAGGGAGAAGGAGAAGGAGAACAGCAAGCAGGAGGCAGAGGAGGATGAGCAGCAGGACTTCCCGACGCCCCGGAAGGGCAAGTGGAAGCGGAAGTCGGCAGGTGCGTGTCAGTACCTGGGCCCCGGCCCCGCCCAGCCCCTCCCCGCCCACCCTCACCCGCTCCGCCCC